CCCCCTGGTGGTGCGAGAGTAGTCTGCAAGGTATGAAAAAAAAAAAAAAACAAGAGTAAAAAGAAAAAAAGTAAGAACGAAAAGAAGGAAAAAAAAAATGGGGAAAGTAAATAACTGACATCGTTGAGTTTTGAACGTTGTAGTAGATTCCCAAATATATGGATATTCATCTATAATAAGCGGAAGGGAATATGCCTATTAACAGTTTTTTTTTTTTTCTCACTTCCTTATTTTCCCCTTCTTTCTTTTACGTACTTACTTACCCAACACCTAGATGGGCGTACGCAAGCACACAGGAACTTCTCTTTCTTTCTTTGTTTGTTTTTTCTTTGTGTTTACGTGTGTGTTTTTAGGAGGGGTCTTCTCAATGCAATTCCATTCCATTATCTCTGTTGTTACTATTATTATTTTTATTATTCTCATTTGAGAGAAATCAAATGACACTTTTTTGTTTGCCTTGTTTTTTTTTTTTTCTCCTTCAATTTTTTGTGTTCTCAAATGATAATAATAATAAAAAAAAAAAGGGAGAAGGTAAGATAGTGGGACGCGTGGCAAGAATCTCAAGTTACTTCTCTTTTTTTTCTCTTTCTCTTCTTCTTAGGCCGAATCATCACATTATTCTTCAGGTTTGTTTGGTTGGTTAGTTGTTGTTTTTTTTTTTTTTTTTTACATTGGAATATTTCTTATAATAAGACATTATTTTTAGATAGAAGGGAAACGAAAAGAAGAAAGAAGAAGACGGCCAACTCACATCTCTCTCTCTCTCTCTAGTATTCCCTACCGTATTCCTCTTTTTCTCTTTCTCTTGCGGCATCACACATTCCTGTTACCATCATCATCTGCAGAAGAAAAAGAAAAAGACGACGGGATTTCATTTCAATGTCTAAGAACAGCAGCAGTACTAATAGCAATAGTAATAGTAACAACAATAGTCGTAGTGCCGCTGCTGCGGACTCTGGGAGTCGAACTGCATTCGGCACAGCCACCAAACTCGGTGTGCAGTACTCCAATGAGGATGAGCGCAGCATCTACCAGAAGGTGGCAACGATTAACGGCTACACATTTGAAGTCCCACCGGTAAATCGTTTTCATAGTAAAAGTGCGGAATCTAAATTTGTGCAACTTACAGGATCTCTTAATCCGCGTTTTGAGGCTGAACGATTTGATAATCTTCGTGAACGTCTGCAAGTGGCAGATAAGAAAGGGAAAGACAGTCATCTGCAAGCCATTGCGGTTTTGTATGCTGAATTTCTTGGAAATCATTTTTTAAAGTCAAAAGATGTGGACTATGCGGAAATAGAACGTTGTTTTTATCCATCCTATTTACCAACATATGAAAATGCTTTAAAGGCTGTTGGACTAAAGAAACCGCTATGGTGGAGACAAGGTCTCTTTGCATCTTTAGAAGATATTTCAAGACTTCCATTATCTCGCTGTAATACAAGTAAAGAGGCGGCGATGAGTTTTGAAGAATGGTATTGTCTTTTCTGGAACTATTATACCCCTTTTAATGCGTTGGCATATCTTTTAATGGTGACCGCACAATCTACACTTCCAAATAAGGAGTTAATTGAAAGCACAGCGGATTATATTGCCTACCGTCATGCACTTATTGAGGATCCACGTGCGAAAAAGGCTCCTATTTTGTTTTTAGGTTCTCGTACAGGAAAATTTGGAGCCCTATTAAACAAAACTGGAAAAATTCCCGTACCTATTATTCACGTTCATGAACAACCTAATACAAATCCCTATCTTCTTGTCATTCCTCCTCATAAACAAGATGAGTTTAAACCTCATCCTATTTTAAAAATGAAAGATCAAGTAGCATTAGAAAAATACGAACCTGCTATTGTATTAATGTCTGATATGATTACAAACAAGGATCCCACGGCATTAGTGAGACGAATGGGATCTGTTCGTGAATATATGTACTTTGGTACTCCAGACAGTTATATTGAGGGACATGCATGGGATACATGGGGACACTTTAAATATCGTGAAAAGGGAACAGATCACATTCCACCATTTTTGAGAGAAAATTGGATTAAAATTCCTCTTCCACATCTTTCACGATGGATGATTTACAAAACAGATAGTATTATGCAAATGGGAAATGGTGCTGTCACAACGTGGATGCGGCGTCCACTACAACCGACTGCGAAGGCGAAGTTTAGTTGGCGGCTCGCACGATTTAAACCCTTCTTTTGATGCGGATTGAGAAAGAAAGAAAAAGAAAAAGAAGAATATAAGGAATAGACCACGAAAGAGAGGGGGAAGAGAAAGGGTAAAAAAGAGAGAAAAAACAATATCGATGATAAGGAGGGAAAGGGAGAGAGAAGGGTGGGGACTCTTTTTTTTTCTTTTGTTTACTATTTTTCACTCTTTCTACTTCCTTCTCGTATAAAAAGAAAAGAAAAAAAAAAGAAAATAAATGATGGAGAGGAGGTTGTTTTTTTTTTTTTTTTTTTTTTTTT